CCCAACAATCATAACTTCTTTTCCAGCTGCTGCTGTAACCTCGGCCACCTCACCTTTTATCTGTTTTGCAATCGAGGAATGAATAGCACCACAGAGCCCTCGATCTGAGGATACACCAATAATGAGGTGTCTCTTCTTGTTTTCAGGAACCTTAATATCAGCTTTCTCATAGAGCGCGAGAGATCCGACTTCATATACTCGAGCTGGTTTCAGCTCCCTCTCTGCTCGGGCATATTTTGCTGCTGCTACCATTTTCATAGACTTGGTAATTTTCTGAATGTTTTTGATTGACTTCAGTCGCCTGGTAATATCTTTCAAAGTTGCCATATTTCGAACTTGGGTCCATTGTTGCTGCACAGCCCAGGCCGAGACAACGAGGTTTGCCCGAGAAAACATGATGGTGCAGGCCTTGCTGAAGGTCGGGCAGCTGAATTATCTTTTTTTTAAATTTTTTTGTGTGCGTGTACCATCAAATCAGATAGATCTGACTGGTACCGGAGGAGATTGTCCCTCCTTCCCCGGCAGAGCATCTGGTGGGTTCGAACCCTGCACCTCTGGGATTGTAGTTGCTGTTCCTTGCCACTAGGCCACCAGAGCTCCCCCGTGAATTAACTTTTTATCTCTTCAGAATATACCACATTTTCTTCCTGGCTTGGATTGAACACTAATTATTATTAGATGTACTTGATCCCATCAAGATTTGTATTGAGAACACATAACTTTTTTAAATAACTAACTCTTATATGATTTGTGCATTTCACTCTATAAATAAAAACTGTATGTAAATGGAGGATAGTGTGAAACACAATGTATATGAACTTTCTAAGCAAGCCAATATAAAATAAGAATTTTTTAAAAATTAAAAATTGTAAATAACAAGAAACTCTAGGTAATGATATCCTCCTCACTTTCAGCAAGCAAAATATTGTCATCCGCATAATGCAGATTGTTGATGAGTCTTTCTCTGATCCTGATACCACATTCTTCTTCATAGAATTCAGATTGACAAATTATTTGTTCAGCATATAGATTGAACAAGTGTGAAGAAAGGATACAACCCTGGCACACATCTCTCCTGATTTTAAGCCATGCAGTGTTCTCTTGCTCCATTCAGACAACAGTTTCTTGGTCTAAGTATATATTCCATATGAGCACAATTAAATGTTTTTGGATTCCCACTCTTTTCAACATTAGGTGTAATTTGTTATGATCAAGATAAAATAATGAACAACCTTAATCCTTTCTCGATCTAT